TTCTTTATCTCTATTTTTGAATTTTCCTTTTGGAATGAAATTTCTAAAATAAACTTATGGGAACATGAACTTTTTTTTTCGTATGACTCTAACTTGATTCCAAAAGAGGGGAGGTCAAAGAAATCAGTATAGGCTCAAAAGGGTATTCGAATGGTATAAGTGTGTGGGTAGTTGAAAGAGGGCCACCCAATCCCTGAAAATGCCAAGTACAACACATGAAACTTGAAATGAAAAAGGAAGAGCACACACAATATTTTTTTACAGCTTCGGTATTGATATCACTGACACGCTTTCCACTTTTTTTAGTGCCTTGTCAAATACATAACTCTCGTTGGGTAATTTCTTCTTCACAGTGGATACCTTCCGTCAGTTCAGAGCAAACTTCTTTGGCTTTATCTTGTTACTTGAGGTACACTTGAACTCAAAACTGCTCGCTTCAAATTGTTTGGGATCCACCCTCCTTTAACAAATCCTTGTCATCCTATTAACTTCCCAGGTTATCTGCCCCAGTTTAACACAGTCCGGGCTTCAAATGATATTAAAATGTCCAAATCTATACTAATTTAACTCAAATGTCCCTATCATCTTCAAAACTTGTTTCATTGCTTCATGATTAGACTAACTATTATGACCAGGCTAAGAATTATGCGTACATGACATGTCACTAGAGTCAACAGGAAAAGAACTATTAAAGGAAAAGGGAACTAAACAAAAATGACTAGAAATATTAGGAAACAGGAAATTGTATTAGATAGATGGTGAAAGGGTTTGAACAACAAAACAAACAAAACACACTAGGGTTACGACCCTGGAAAAACCTAAATAACACTAAAAGGGGTACTACGACTAAATGAACTAGGCAAAATAAAATGATAGAAAGGTTTGAGTCATAAGACAATATCTGGATTACAACCCTGAAATAACCCAGAAAATAGAAATGACAACAAAATAAACCACCAGGACTCCTCCCCGGGTAACTAAGAAGGGAGCGTCTTTCCAATTACCAAGCTAGACGTCTTAGCCACTGAGTTCCACATCAATATTACCAATACCATTAACAATATCAATCACATTGACTTCAGTCAGCAAGTTCCCAAGAGAATTCTCATGCTCCCTATCAACACACATCATCCCCACAAAGTGTGCATCATCATGTGCAGGTAAAGGATTATGCGCGATATGCTGGGTGTCACTGTCTTGGATCACAATTATCCCTTCTTGAATCATTCTTTCTATTTCCTTTTTCAAAGCACAAAAAACTTCAATGTTATGACCTTGGAAACTACAGTGGTATATGCACCATACAGTAGGATTAAAACCTTTTTTATATGGGTCTGGCGTATAGCCGAGGAGCGGCTCAATCAGGCCAGAATGTTTTAACTTTTCAAACAAGTTTGTGTAGGATTCTCCGATGGGCGTGAAATTATCCTTTTGCCTTTGTTTCCCTCCATGCCATAGTTTTCTAGGATTGTTGGATGCTCGAAAATGTTGTGAAGGAGCACGAGAATTTTGGGATGCTGGTGCTCGCCGTAGGGAGTGACCTAGTGGTTGGACAAATGGCCGGATGTTGTTCGGAGGATAATACTGGGGTGGATTATGTGGAGTTTGGGGATGTTCATGAGGTCGGTATTGAGGCTGAAAGCATTTAGCAGGAATGCCCACTGGATCCTGTCGTTGGCGAGGCTCAACAACATCTTTTCTATCAATGGGAGGACTGTCCCTAGCAACTTGTTCGTTCCATCTGAACCAAAATTCCCTAAAACTTTCCTTGGGTTTCTTTTCCATCTGTGATTGGGAGGAGCGGTCTGGGACAATATCTATCTTGTACTTAAAGTGTCGCACAAAATCTTGAGCCATGTCATCCCATGTTTGCCACTTACCAAATGAGTATGCCATTCCAAAGCTGTCCCAGTCAGGCTCTCACTAAAATACGCCATCAACAACTTATCTTTCCCGCCAACACTTATCATTTCACTACAATAACCCCTCAGATGAGCTATTGGATCTCCACGCCCATTATACAAATTAAACTTTGGCATCTTAAACCCTTTTAGCTTTCTGGATATCTCATCTTGCTTCAATATCTTAGCAGGCTTTGCATTCTCACCGAGATCAAAATGAGGAGCATAAGAGTATGGACCCGAGACCTTGAAAATTGGCTCTGGAGCATAATGTTGGGCATCAGGGATTTTGAACATAGTCTCGCTAGAGTATCGAGGAAAGATAGCAGGTGAATGATCTACAAAAACATGAGTGGTCAAAGGAGCGGGATATGAGGTGGTTCTGGAGGTGGAGTGTGAAAAGGTTGTGGGGAAATATCCTGGACTTGTGACAGTGGCAGAGTGGTGACAAGGCTTTCTGTGTAGTTAGTGAGAACTGATGGTGGAGGGCACTCACTAATCCAGGCTTGGTATATTTTGGCCATCTGTCCTTTGGACCTTCAGACCTCTTCTCTCAACTCAGATTCCGATTCAACAATTCCCTTAGACGGATCAATAACTCCTGTGTCCAAGCCTTTGCTAGCCATGGCTACCTTACTCTTTGACCTTATGTTGTATGGATGAGTTACTTAAGAACCACAAACCAACCACCCTTCTGCTTAATGAAGATAACAAAAAGAACAAAATTGGGTCATCCTGTTAGCATTAGGATATTTAACAGCTAAAAATATCACATTGCGTGCAATGCACCTAGCAACAATTAACGGTTCTAGAATGACTTCGAGGGTTACAAGGTCACTTGGAATCATCCCAATTTGTTCCCTTCAATATTCTCTTTTCGTTTCTTTTCTAGCACTTGCTTGCTCATTTTCCTTCCTCTTTTTTTTTTTTCTAATTATCACTCTTTTCTTTCCTCTCATTTCTCACATCCCATAATTTCATATCTTTTTTTTTTCTTTTAATAAAAAAATAATTCGATCGAACCCTATGTAGGTTGCCTACGTATCATGACGCCGCATGAATCAGATCTTTGTGTAGCTCGGGAATGTAACGGATAAATTAAACTAAAAATAAAAATCTTTTTGGATTACTCATTACAACCTTTTTTTATTTTCGAATACAAAACAGGAAATATGATAACGAGAGACTCAACTCAACTATACTACGACAAACTCCAACACCAACTAAAAGAATCATTACTACTGGACATGGCTATAAAGTACAAGACAACATAAAAAGAAACAGACTCAAAACATAAAAAATCTCCTTAAGCAACTCTTGAATGCAACGGTCCTGACCAGATGGCCCCCGGATGTCTGCCATGCTCAAAATCCGGTGAGTAGATCCACACCTGTATGAGAAAATTAAAACCAAATGGAGTTAAAGATTTAGAACACTATGTGAGACTATAACACTCCCTACTGGACACATGCATGACATGATTGATGCTATTTTTGCAAAACGTCTTATGTGGACAAAAGGTGGCTAGAAGTGCAAACTCGACAAAAGTGACCTCTAAGATATGGAAAATTACTTTGCAAAAATGACTCATTTTATAGAAATGGTTTGTGTGGACAAAAATGGCTAAGCATGCAAATTCAACACAATGGACCTTAAATAGAGAGAACATCTTATTGTGGACTTAGAACTCTAAAACATAGGTCACTGAACCACTTTTGCGAAAATGACCCCATTTTGCAAGAACGACCGATGTGGCCAAAAGCGGCAAGACATGCAAATTCGATAAGGGTGGGTCTTAAAGTAAAGAAACACCTAATTGTGGATTCAAGACTCTTTAGACAATTAAACAAACCACTTTGCAAAAATAGTCATATTTTGCAAAAAAGGCCAATATAGCCAAAAGTGGCTAGAGATGCAAGATTTGGCTACGACCATTGAAGCCAAGAACCTAAGACTCACTAAGAAGACCGGACCCTATGTGGGTTGCCTACATATCCCGCCCCGAGAGACGAGAATCAGGTTCGCGTAGTTCGAAAAAATCGGATACGGGCGGGAATTAAAAAAAATAACTAATTTAGAGAAAATATTTTTTTTGTTTTGAAAAATGATGAAACATGTAAACTCTTTTTGAATTTTCTTTTTCCTCTTTTTTCTTAAATTAATTTTTCAGAAAATGATGGGAAAGTTCGAATTTGTTTTTTGGATTTTCATTTTTTTGTCTTTTTCTTAAAAAAGTTGTGAAAGAAAATATAACTGGGCCCTACTTGGTTTATTTTCACACTTCACCCTCTTTTTTTCTCATTTACCCTCCACCATCATTGGTCCGCTAAATGACCTTTTTTTTACCCTTGAAGAATGGAACATTTAGCATATATGATGCATCAGGATGGTCTTTTATTTTTTCGGGTACACCTGTCCTAGACGGACCCAACCCCTGTGTTGAGTCCCCAAAGTCAAATGCACGTGATGCAAACAAACGTTCCTATTAGGGATCCGACATAAGGTTATGTTATTCTAATTTTAAACCTGGGGTTGTGTTCTTGACCTGGCTTATCCGAGTGGACAACTCGAACCGAAGAGGGGGCACCGTACTGGGAGCACTAAATTCTACCCGGTCTTGTTGTTGGCCCAGCCTCGTTCTATTTGGTATGTCTTCTACAGAAAAAGCGGGCCACGCGAACATGTGCATCATTTTCAGGAGACTCAAAAGGGTGACGTAAGAAGATAGTTATATACAATTCAAACAATATCGAAATGGTAAATAAACAGCAATTAACACATTAGGTTCACAAAAATACAGTAATATTAACAATAAACAAAGCCAAATAAAATCATACTAAAAAGCTCGAATTCTTGAACCATGAACCAGGATTCTGGGTTCTTGTCCCCAGTAGGGTCGCCAGAGCTGTTACACCTCCTTTTACTACCTCGAGATGGGTATTAAGGGAGTTTTTCCAATTAAAGTGACTAAAATCAAAATAAGATTTTTTATTCAAATTCAGAGTCGCCACTTGGGATAATTTATGATGTCCCAAGTCACCAATTTAAAATCACGCATGAATCAGATCTTTGCATAGTTCGAAAAAAGTAACGGATAAATTAAACTAAAAATAAAAACCTTTTTTGATTACTCATTACAACCTTTTTTTATTTTCGAATACAAAACAGGAAATATGATAACGAGAGACTCAACTCAACTATACTACGACAAACTCCAACACCAACTAAAAGAATCATTACTACTGGACATGACTATAAAGTACAAGACAACATAAAAAGAAACAGACTCAAAACATAAAAAATCTCCTTAAACAACTCCTGGATGCAATAGTCCTGACCAGATGCCCCCCGGATGTCTGTCATGCTCATAATCCGGTGAGTAGATCCACACCTCTATGAGAAAACTAAAACCAAATGGAGTTAAAGATTTAGAACACTATATGAGACAATAACACTCCCTACTGGACACATGCAGGACATGATTGAGGCTATTTTGCAAAAGGGCTTATGTGGCAAAAAGGTGGCTAGAAGTGCAAACTTGACAAAAGTGACCTCTTAGATATGGAAAATTACTTTGCAGAAATGACCAATTTTATAGAAATGGTCTATGTGGACAAAAATGGCAAACATGCAAATTCAACACAATGGACCTTAAACAGAGAGAGCATCTTATTATGGACATATAACTCAAAAACATGGGTCACTGAACCACTTTTGCGAAAATGATCCCATTTTGCAAGAACGGCCGATATGGCCAAAAGCGGCTAGACATGCAAATTCGATAAGGATGGGACTTAAAGTAAAGAGACACCTAATTGTGGATTCAAGACTCATTAGACAATTAAACAAACCACTTTGCGAAAATAGTCATATTTTGCAAAAACGGCCAATGTAGCCAAAAGTGGATAGAGATGCAATATTTGGCTACGATCCTCGAAGCAAAGAACCTAAGACTCACTAAGAAGACCGGACCCTATGTGAGTTGCCTACGTATCCCTCCCCGAGAGACCAGAATCAGATTCGCGTAGTTCGAAAAAATCGGATACGGGCGAGAATTAAAAAAAATAACTAATTTAGAGAATATATTTTGTTTGTCTTTGTTTTGAAAAATGATGAAACATGTAAACTCTTTTTGGATTTTCTTTTTCCTCTTTTTTTAATATTTTTTTTCCGGAAAATGATGGGAAAGTGCAAATTTTTTTTTGGATTTTTCATTTTTTGTCTTTTCTTAAAAAAGTTTTGAAAGAAAATATGACTGGGCCCTACTTGGTTTATTTTCATACTTCACCCTCTTTTTTCTCATTTACTCTCCACTATCATTGGTCCGCTAAATGACCTTTTTTTACCCTTGAAAAATGGAACATTTAGCACATAGGATGCATCAGGATGGTCTTTTATTTTTTCGGGTACACCTGTCCTAGATGGACCCAACCCCTGTGTTGAGTCCCCAAATTCAAATGCACGTGATGCAAACAAACGTTCCGACTAGGGATCCGGCATGAGGTTATGTTATTCTAAGTTTAAACTTGGGGTTGTGTTCTTGACCTGGCTTACCCGAGTGGACAACTCGAGCCGAAAAGGGGGCAACGTGCTGGGAGCACTAAAGTCTACTCGGCCTTGTTGCTGGCCCAACCTCATTTTATTTGGTATTACTTCTACAGAAAAAGCGGGCCACGCGAACGTGTGCCCCATTTTCAGGAGACTCAGAGGGGTGGCGTAAGAAGACAGTTATATACGATTCAAACAATATCGAAATGGTAAATAAACAACAATTAGCACATTAAGTTCGCAAAAATACAGTAATATTAACAATAAACAAAGCCAAATAAAATCATACTAAAGAGCTCGAATTCTTGAACCCTGAACCAGAGATTATGGGTTCTTGTCCCCAGCATAGTCGCCAGAGCTGTCACACCTCCTTTTACTATCTCGAGATGGGTATTAAGGGAGTTTTTCCAATTAAAGTGACTAAAATCAAAACGGGATTTTTTATTCAAATTCAGAGTCGTTAGTTGGAATAATTTATGGTGTCCCAAGTCACTGGTTTAAAACCCCGAATCGAGGAAGTTTGACTCTTATTTATGGTCTACGAACACAGAAATCCGGGTAAGAAATTCTGCTAACCCGGAAGAAGGTGTTAGGCATTCCCGGGTACCTTTGATCATACTTGGCTTAATCAAATTGTCTAATTACTCATTTTAGAACTTATGTGCATTTGCCTCTTTTAATTAAGAAATTATCTTGAAACGGGTCACGCGTACGTGTACCCATTTATTTGGCGTGTCAAAAATCCTGTCACGCGTACGTGTTCACAATTAATAATGCTTTAGAACGTTTAATCAAATTTGCGCGAACGCGTACTCTGATTTTATTTTTAAAATCGTAATTATGCCACGCGAACGTGTACACAATCACAATGATGTATTAAATCGCGCTTAAAGCATTTTCTACGAATATTCATGGTTATTTCTTTCTAAATTTGAGATTATTGTAAGAAAATGAGCTACTGATATGAAATTGTTGAAATATTTTTGTATAGAGTAAATACAGAATAAAGTCCAGCTTATTTTTTGTAGTATCTAAGTCCAAACCTACGTAACTATTATGGCTTATTAAATCAAAAAGCCAAAACAATCATCAATTTTCCATTACTAATATATACCCCAACCAACGCAACTATCATCTTTATTAATGTTTCTAAATTCTAACTTTCATAACATATATCTAGTAATAATCAAATCAAGATCATATGTTTACAAAATAAAGAAGGAAAGAAAGAAAAAAAAATGTCCACATGCCTAATTGGGTGAAGCTTAGCCCAAATCCCTTCATTCATTCATCAGACATCAACAAACTTATTTTTATTAACTAAGAGGAAGAACGCACAAATTAATTTGCTGACTAAATTCCATAATTAAATTAAAGCAAACAGTAAATTCCAAAGATCTTTGAAGTTATGTATATATAAGGAAATATTATTATTACTTTCAAAAATGGTCTCCAGAAACATTAATGATTACTCAAGCTTTCACAGATCTAAGCTAATGAAAAGATAAAACTAAAAAAAAAAAATTGATGCCATATTTTAAATTCAGTAAAGGATAAACATCAACAAGAAAGAAAAAAAAGACTTTAATCTTAACACAAAAATGATGGCAGCACAACAGCAAGCTCAAATTACTAAAAGTATGCCTTTAATTGCATATAGTAATGAATAGTAAATAAACCAAACTTTGCAAATAAAGCAGAGTAAAGGAACGAACCTTTGAAAGCTAATTTCTTTTTTAATAATAATTTCTGTCAATGCGACGTACAACCAAATCCGGCGACTGCGATCTACCGGAGCGAAAATCAAAGCAAACCTTCGGACTGAGCAGAACCCGATGATGGTAACCTCTACGACGACCCCTACATCATGACATCAAATAACCAGAAATCCCAAAATGATTTTTTGAAAAATTGGATGGAATTAACTTTCTGTTGCTATTTTTTTCGTCAATGCAGCAACATGAAGAGACAGGAGAAGAGAGACGGGGTGGTAAGGACGACTAGCTACAATAGGCTACCAGTGATGAAGTCCGGCAACGGCAGTGGCGCCGAAAATCGACCAAAGGAGAAACTCCAACACTTAAAGGGGTGAAAGGTCGTTCTTTCAATTTTTAGAAAATGAAAGCTTGGCTCTTGTCTCTTGGTTCAGAGACCAATAACAATGGAGAATTCCCTTTGTTTTTGGGAAGGTGCCGCTGCTCGTCTTTTTTAGGGAGGGGTCTGATTATGATCTATCCTCTATTAGGTCTAGGATGTGTATATTTATGGGAAGGGGTCTAGGGTTAAGGATGAGATAATGGGCTAAAGTTATTTGGGCTAAGGGTAATTGGGTTGGATTATGCCTTTTGGGTTTGAATTTAAGCTAAAAAGATCAAATAATACAATGTATCTATAAAATGTAAAAATGACTCTTAAATAAAATAAACTAATATAAGACTAAATATTAAAAGTGAAACTATTTTTGTGTATATTTTTTAATTTTATGAAAAATAGATAAACTAAAAGTAACTAAATAAAATATCGATTAGCTAAATAAAAAAAAAAATTGTAATTTTTATTTTTGTGACAAAATAAAGTAAAGGGTCAAAACTAGTTGAAATAACTATATTAGACCTAAACTAAATATTTAACACTAAAATGTGTAAAATCTTGGGGAGGGTAAAAAATCACATGTCTACACATCCCCAGTCCTGAAAGGTGTGGATTCGAAGTAGTTCGTGCAAAGGCCGTTCCTAGAGGAAGCGGCTCCGAAACCCATTCCAAAGAAGTTCAGAATGCTAGAACTCCCAAAATACAACGGGACCTCAGACCCCAATGAGCACGTTACTGCTTACACTTGCGCAGTGAAGGGTAACGACATAAAGGACGACGAGATCGAGTCCGTCTTATTGAAAAGGTTTAGGGAAATGCTCTCGAAGGGGGCCATGATATGGTATTACAACCTTGCTCCCAACACCATAGACTCATTTGCCATGCTGGCAGACTCCTTCATGAAGGCATATGCCAGTGCCATCAAAGTAGCAACGAGGAAATATGACGTGTTGAAGATCAAGCAGAGGGAGAACGAAATGCTGTGAGAGTTCGTATCTCACTTCCAAACGGAACGAATGGAACTACCACCGATCTCTGACGACTGGGCGGTGCAGGCCTTCACTCAAGGTCTGAACGAACGAAGCTCAGTTGCTTCAAAGCAGCTAAAAGAGAATCTGGTTAAATATCCCGCCGTGACTTGGTCGGACGTCCATAACCGATACCAGTCAAAAATCAGGGTCGAGGAAGACTAGCTAGGAGCCTCTTTGAGCTCAGTATACCCAAGCATGCTCATGGCGAAGGAGCCAATGCCAAACAAAGAAAGATAAACCATACACCAAAGACAGAAGGAATGCCCCGAGGTGCAACCCACCTCGCAACGATCGAAGGATAGACCGAGGATAGAATCCTCGGGGACTCATCAACAGAGCCGGATTCGAAAGGAATGCGGGGCCAACGGAGGTGCCTCGCATATCAGAATACAACTTCAATGTCGTTGTGTCAGACATCGTGTATGCCATCAACAAAACTAGAGACGCCAGATGGCCCAGACCTGTACAATTGGATCCTTCATAAAGGAACTATAATTTAGTATGCGAGTTTTACAACACGCACGGACACAAGACCGAAGATTGTCGGCAACTCCGGGAGGAAGTGGCCCGGTTACTCGACAATGGCCATCTTCGGGAATTCCTCAGCGACCAAGCCAAAAACCAGTTTCGACAAAAGGGAAACAACCAAAAAGAACAAAGCAACAAGCCGCAACATGTCATCCATACGATCTTTTGAGACGGCTGCCACTAGCCGAAACGCGAAAGTCCCCTCCAACAGAGGGACTAAGAGATAAATCGACGAATAAATAGTAGCTGCGAGACCATCTCCAAGGTTTGAAAGTGCCATCGCCACTAAGGTATAACCATCTCCTTTTTATTTTATATCATATTTCATGCTGACCCTTATGCAGGCGCCCTACCGAAGTAGTCAAAGCACTGACCCAGCTCAAAGACCTTAAGGTTTTAAATCATTCGTTGCACTATTTTCCTTCGACCAGGTTTCATCCCGAGAAAGGTTTTACCGGCAAGGTTTTTAACGAGGCAACACTCATATGCTACCTTAGCAAGATCCAGCAACTGTTCAAGGCTTCTTTTGCAATCAACCTCGAACACTGGGGGGCATCCCCTGGAAGGACATCTGCTCGGAAAAGTCAATAAATGCCAAATGGGGTCCCAATAGAAAAATGATGTACCGGGCCAAACGGTCAAACGAACCATGCCCGTGTAACCGGGCCCCTGATAGCAAAAACATGTACACTTGTACCAAACAATTGAAGAATATCTTTTAACAAAGCATCTCGCACTCCAAAAGAAGCTCAGCACCTCCGCAAAAACGACTTCTATGCCAAAAACGTCTTAAATACTCGGGGACTGTCGTCAACAATTCAACACTTGAATGACCTGTGGGTCGGGACTCCAAAATCATAAGCCCTCATAGAAGGCAACATGAAAATCGCAAAACATCTCCAATGCCGAAAGTACCCTAAATACTCGGGGACTGGCGTTAAAATCTCAAAAAACACACGACCTCAGGGTCGGGATCTCCAAAATCGTAAGCTCTCGACGAGGCAATACAAAGTTTGCAAATAATGGCTTCCGAGTCAAGAAACCCTCGACGACTCGAGGACTGCCGTCAAGCGCCACCTCCATCGACTTATCAAAATCGAGGCCATAAGACCCCGAGCGGGCAGACTCGGTCTCGTAAGACCTACATAAGGCAGCAACTATATCTGTAAGACCTCAAGCAAGGCATGAACAATACTTGTACCAAGTATTCAAAACTATAAGACCCCAATGGCATGTAAAACTTGTAAGACCTTACTAAAGGCATAAACCCGATCCCAAAGTTTCGGCTATATATCGAACTTGTAAGACCCCTAAAAAGGCATACCCGTGATATAGATGCCGAAACTACTTCACTCGGGACTCAAAGGCTCCAGCCAAACACAAGTGACTCCGGTCACACGGCTGTACCAGCCGAACTAACGCGACTCGGGGACGCCCGACCGTCGCTACAAAATCACATGCCTTCAATTACTTAGAATCTACTTTGAAAAGAACTAGTTAAATAGGCTACCCTCGATACAGGAAAAAGGGCTTCGACCATGTTAGCTCCTAAACATTGGTTTCAAGATACTCAACCTCCTATCCAAAACCTCCCGAGGTGCTCGATCATTGCCATATAATGACTCAAAATCCAGGTTTTTTATTAAGTCGTCGAAGAGTCATGGAAATACTATTTATCCTTATCGAGGGAAAAATAAAGCCAATAAAAGGTCGCATCGACGAAGAGCGTAAAGTCCATTGTCGCCAGCCTAATGAGCATCAAGGCCATACACATAAAAGGCCGCATCGGCCCAAGGCGTAAGAGCCATTGTCGCTAGCCCACAAAAATACAAAACTTGAGGGTCAAATGAGCTCGAGTCGTATCCCGATTCGGATACTGAACCCAAAATAGTTAACTAAGTATGCCTAAGAGCAAGGCGTAAGAGCCATTATCGCCAGCCCGCATACACTAAAAGGTCGCATCGACCAAAGGCGTAAGAGCCACTGTCGCCAGCCCACACCAAAAGGTCGCATCGACCAAAAGCGTAAGAGCCATTGTCGTCAGCCCACACTAAAAGATCGCATCGAACAAAGGCATAAGAGCCACTGTCGCCAGCCCACACTAAAAGGACGCATCAACCAAAGGCATAAGAGCCACTGTCTCTAGCCCACACTAAAAGGACGCATCAACCAAAGGCATAAGAGCCACTGTCTCTAGCCCACACTAAAAGGTCGCATCAACCAAAAACGTAAGAGCCATTGTCTCCAGCCCACACTAAAAGGTCGCATCGACCAAAAGTGTAAGAGCTAATCATGCTCTAAAGCCTCTAAAGCCTGAGCCTCCGCTCGAGTTTTTAGCTAATCATGCTCACGCCTGGCCCGACCAACTTTATCCCAAAGGCTCTTTAGGGCCTCCGTCTTTTTCTCAACCAGCCCACCTCATACCGCAAGTATACCAACTCGACCTCCTTTTCATTGCAAAGGAGCCTAAGGTATCTCTCCTCATCCAGAGCTTTCCGCAGCCTGGCTTCATGACGAAGCAGCCCGGACTTAAGCTTGTAAAAGGCGTGCAAAAGAAACCCAATAAGGAAGGGAAAACACAAAGCTCGAAAGGCCTGTGAGAAAACTCACCACAAAGTGAAGCCGTCGGGCTTCCTTGATGGCCAAGTACACACTTGCCAATCCAGTTCCTTCAGCCCTGAAAGAATCGACTCCGGTCGAAGCACGGTCGTTCATTGTGTGCGACCCTGGGTTTCTAGTATCTCCAGAAGTACTGTCGACGGGAAAAAATGCAATAGCAGTGGAGAAACTCTGTTTCCAGAACCAAGAACTATGGACACGGCAGGCTCGGACGATGCTTCCACTCCGAAGCTCCGGTCCCATTTTTCCTTGCTTTGAGCGCCATCTCCCTAAAAAAACATCTATCGCTTATTGTTGTCGTTCTTTAGCCCATGGGCTGGCAACCCTTTCCCCTCTCCAGAGGAGTGTGGCATAGCCTCGAAAGGCTCTCCGATGCCTACAACAACAAGCTTAATATGAATAAAGGGAAAATGCCTCTCCAAATGAAGGAATGGAGGGGAAAGTATAACACAACACTCACCATGATGTTTCGCTTCCAAGTCTGCCCCGGGACACATCTTGCCACTTGTGCTCATCACAGGTCAAGTGGGTCGCCAACTTTCAGACACAATCCGGCAAATCAGGAACGTCACCCGGCGCCCATGAAACCGCTGCAGAAAAAGAAAGGAGGGCAAGGTTACAAAACCAGTTCTCGCCATAGGCAAAACTGAGAAGGCACGAAATGCACCACTTACGTGTATGATTCCATTCCTCAAGGGATGACATAAGCTCCACGGGGATAATGTAAGCAGTCTGCAATCGGCCAAAACGACTCATCCACCCCGGTCTCCATCTTTCTCATTATCAACAACGAAGGGCGTGGTCGATCAACATCGCAAGGTTAGCAGACCTCGATGGTGAAAGGGCCGGTACAACCTAACTAGATGACTGAGCATAAGTTCAAACCCCATTTTCTCCGTGAAAAATCTCATCATCAATATTGTTTGCCAAAATGACGGGTGAATCTGCGCCAAGGTAACCCGATACACTAAGAAGAAGT